GTTTTCACCTTATTTCAGTTAATTTCACATCAGTTTTTGTTATATTAACTGTAAACACTATGGGAAATAGATAATTAGTTATTTATTACCTTTTCAAGTTCAAGGTATTTAGGTGTTCATGCAGTTGATAACAAGAATGATTTCTCCAAACAAGCAAAGTTTGTGCATGAGGATATGGTGTTTTAAATATTTAGTATAAGGTTCCAACCTTACAGGCCATGAGATACTGTGTGTGGGACTATGAAGTAATTTGTTTTATTTCTATGCTTTTTTTCAATGGCCTGCAGTATGTAGATATATTATCTGTCCCATACCATTGAATTGAAATAAATCTGTGTAGTGCTAAAGCTGTTTGTGAAAGATTACATTGCAGGGGGCCATGGAGATTATTATATATTGGTCAGAGACCAAAAAAAAGAAAAGAGATTGGTAACTGCAGATTATTTTCTTTCACATGGAAAGAAAAAATTACGAAGTCCATTTGACTGAATGTACTATTGTATATTAAAATATGTGACTGCCAAGATTTGTATTCATTACCACTTTATATTAACTTACTAAAATTCTTTAGCATTTAACTAATTTCTCAAATTGTACTTCATCCATTTTATAAATTTACTAAAATACTTAAGCAGTGAACTAATTTCCCAAATTGTACTTCATCCATAACCCCCCAAACCCATGCCTGTTGTTATCACGCGGACTGAGGCCCAGTTTAGGTGATCACCCATGCCTTGGACCTCAGCCTTTGCTTCAACTAATTTTGCATGGTCTTTTCCTTCTCATCTTATGCAAAGCTGTGCTGAATGTGTGAGAGACTGGCTTTTTGACAGTCCTGAAGGATTTCCTGAAACCATGGACACGGTAATCACTTGGTTAATCATCTGGTCATTACCTCATGTGGGATTCCCCAATCCCTTGCTCATTGTTGTGGGGGGCTTAGGACATGGAGACTGAGGCCCAATGTAGGGGATCAGCTCTGCCTTGGACCTCACCCCTCATGTCAACTAATTTGTATGGTGTTTTCTTCACATTCTTTTTCCTTATCTTCTTTACTCCTTCTTCTGTCCACTTATCCTGATTGTTAAGTCATTTTCACCCTTTTTGCTACAATAGATTATCATAATGTTTATGATCTTTGATGTCTAGCACAGTTATTTGTTTTAACCATTAACCTCATACTGGAACCATCACATATTTCAGGCTCACCATGGCCAATAATTTCATAAACTTATTAATGGCATTAAGGCTTGTTCTGTCATGAACTAGCTTTTCAAAATTTGACTTCAAATTGCTCTGGGCAGTCATTCATGTGTGCTAATTGTGTATGTATTTTATAGGAGCTGCCCTGCCTACAAGCTTGAATCTGCGGTAGCAGTTCTCATATTCAAACTAGGCCTCTATAAGAGCCCAGACAGGAAGCACACCAATAAGGATATTCTCCCTCTACATGTTCCAGCGCTGTCGTTCGCTGAACTCCTCTCCCATCTTCTCAAGATGTTTCAGGATCTCCCCTGATATCCATCCTTCCCCTCAAGTTCCCCCTAACCCTCTTCTTCCCACTCTCTCCCAACACACCATCTTCCCCATAATGTGGACTATCCCATCTTTCCCCATTATCCAAACTGCTCCTATCTGGATTTAATTTTATCGACAATTTTCTGCTGCATCAACAGCTAAGGTGATTAATGGTGTATTCAAAATATAGTGATAGCATGAGGCTTGGGGGTAAATTCCCCAGGTAAAGAAGTGCTATATGAATCAAAAATTCATGTGGCAAAATGGCAAGAGTTTAACAATTAGGATAAGTGGACAGAACAAAGGGATGAAGAAAAGGAGAAGGAAAAGAGAAGAAAAGACCATGCAAAATTACTTAAGGGGAGGACAGAGGACCAAGGTAGGAGTGATCCCCTACATGGGGCCCCAGTCCCCGTCTCCTAATCCCCCCATTACAACAAGCAAGAGATTGGCGGGGCCCATCTGGATATTCACATGACCCTTATGTCACATGGCCTTCCCTTCAATGACCTTTGATGTTTAGTACATTTGTTTTAACCATTAATTATTAACCTCATCCATGATTTAAAAGTGAAAATCTTTCAGGCCACTTTTGAAGATTTATGCCAAATAAATGTGCTAGACATCAAAGGTAATATAGATCATTTATTTGACATGGGTCCTTCGTACTAGTATGTAAAATTACAACCTGAGAAGCTAGAGAATAGATTACCAAAAAGTGAGCAATCATAAATCAATACCTATAAACATGGGGGGTAAAAGACACTAGATCTGGAACCCTTATCCTGGGTCATGGACTTAGGCCTGAATGCATGGGTAATATTACCTCATGATCAGGCAAGGATGCCTCAAAGTAGAAGTTTACTGCATGCCAACTATTTGAGTAAACTTTTTTCCCCAAGTCTCTATATGGTAATTATAAGGAAAATCTTGTTAATGGTTGGTTAAAAGCAAAATAAATGTACTAGACATCTAAGGTCATGTAGCACTATAGTAAATGTTAGTGAAGGGTGGTTACATTAGTGGTTAGTTGTCAAAGCTGGGCAAAGGAATTGGTGAGTGAATGGGGAGTGAAGTAACCATCCACTGTGTAAGTAAAAAACTGTAGTGCTTTGTATGGCCCTCTGCATGACAGCTGAATTTAGATTTTGTTTAGCAGTGCTTCTGATTCATAATATTGTGGAGAGGCAGTAGTAACTGCATTTCATACTGAATTCATGTGGTTGTAAGAAAGATAAGTATAAGGAAAAACAAAATTTGGTAACATCTATTTTATTTCAGTTCAAAATTGCCATATATCAATGGCTACACGAGAATCTTATTGTATAATGACAACTGGAGTTGAAACACTTGGTTACCTGCCTATCAAACACAAGTTTCTCCATACACTGTATGATATACCCTTGGTAAAACAATGCTAGAATATGCAATAATTACAAAATCATATAATAATCTCCAGTGTCAATCACTTTCTAAAAAAATCCCTATACATACAATCATAAATCTAGACAAAAGTAGCAACTTCATAATTGCTTACATTATACACTCATGGCGAGTTGTAAGCACACCCCTTTTCACACCACAAAAAGGTTTTAGTTATAAAGACAACCAGGAATTTTTAAGAGCATGATGCATGGTGCTAATATTTGGTTTCATCTCAATGCATGAGATAATCATTTTTAAACAAAGGCACTTAATAAATTTTGAATAACAACGACAATCTACCAAGAATCTCAACTCCCTAAATAATGTATGTGGGTCATAAGGGAATACAATATATTCACCATCAAATCTTAACACAAGAACTTATTGTGTCCAAAAGATGTTTCTTTGTACTATCTTGAACAAACCACAGTACACCACAGCATATATGAACCTAAATATGGGGAAAATTATAAAAAACAAATCCCCACAACTTTCTCCTTTTCTTTTCAAAATCATAAAGAGAACAAGGAAGAAAACTCAAGAAAATGATGGTACAAAATTCTTGATATAAACATACTAATATTCAAGTAAAATTATCCATCTCCATATCTACTGAAAAAGGCAGATAGTTTGAAAGGAGAGCTCAATTAACAACCAAGCATGACCTACTCCAAAGTACTGATAATACTCTGAATTGTTTACAGCATATCTACCCAGTGCCACTGGACTTACCATCTAATATTGTGACCAGCGTGGGTGTTTCACAAAAAAATAACCCATTTAGTTCACATACTCCAAAAAACCTTTCTTATACATAGAAGCATAACGAAATGTAAAATAGCATTAGTGCATAAAATACAATTTTCAATGCTATATCCTGATTCCATGGTTTCAATTTTATTATTTTTATTTTTATTTTTTGTAAAAACATTTTTTCTAAAAATGCCAATATGCAAGTGTTCCCTTAGAAGAACTATGGCAAAGAGTAAAATGTTTTTAAGTGTCTGTATTAAATATATATATATAACTAATACATACAAATATGCATACAGACAGACATACAAGACATACAAAAAATATATACATATCTAATACAAACACTTATCAACAAAGACACTAACAAAATCTTAATATTACTGTCATTGTTGAAATACTCTTAGCAAATTTCTTCAACAATATTATCTGGCCAAGATGTGCTTCATTAGGAACACTGGTCTAAACTAAATATTTTGTGTCTATACATAATGACCATACTCATTATTCATCCTCAGGATGGTCATGTCCATTTTCCTGGGGTGACCTTGAACGAGATCCAGAGCGACTGTCACGTCTACGTGGTGAAGCAGAGGGTGATCGAGATCGTGACCTTGACCGTGAGCGGGATCGAGATCGTGAAGTTTCCTTCTTGTTATCTATTGGGCTGCGAGATCTAGATCGTGATCTACTGTGAGATCTGCTGCGAGAACGAGCTGTCTCCATTTCCTTAGGCTTATCTAATGGCTCTTCTGACATCTTTCTAGAGCCTGATCGTGAACGGCTGTCTCTTCCACCTGATCTTGACCTCTTTCTTTCTCTGTAAACATAATTACAATATAATTAACTTTATAAAGAAGTCTGTGCATCTTAATTTGTGAATAGATGTCAATAGCTATTTCAACAGCTTTTAAGGACTACTACTTACACAGACTTTGACCTGGACCTAGATCGAGACTTTGACCTAGAACGTGAGCGAGGGGACCTTGAACGGGATCGGGAACGTGACCGTGACCGAGAATCCTTAGACCTGGATCTTGATCGTGACTTAGTTCTTGATCTCCTTGACCTTGAACGAGAACGGCTCCTACCTCTTGATCTGGAAGCATATTACAGTATTAGTTAAAATGTCATTGATGCTGACTGGCATTAACTCATTTTACTGTCACAAATTCTACTTTTTCACTAACATCACATTGAAGATGAACCACTTACCTTGACCTTGAATATGACCTGCGGGATCGTGAACGAGAACGAGATCGCCTGCGAGATCTTGAGCGGGAACGGGAGTGTTGTCGATCCTCAATCAGCCTAATTCTCCTTCCATTCAGTTCAGTATCGTCTAACTTCTCAATGGCCCTCTTCATGTCAGACCGGGTGGCAAACTCTACAACACTAGCAGGAGAGAGAAAAAAATAAATGTGTATATATAGTATTCACTAACTTTTACACAACACTACCCTCAATGCACTAAATAATATAAAATTAAAAGCATCAGCAGAACAAAAGTAATTTCTACTGCACTGTACTTTTAACATATAATAAAATTTCACTTACCCTTCATAGCGACGGTGCTTGTGGGCATCTGCAAAGGTAATTTCTCCTGCTTTGCGCATGTAATCCTTGAGATCCTGCAGCAGATTAAGAAAAAACATTTTAATTAGAAAATCAGTTCCTAAACAAATTATTAAATGATTCCATTTACACTAAAAATAAATAAATAAAATAAAGCTTACTACCAGAGGTTAAAATGAAAACCTATATGAGGGACCTAAAGTGAATCTGTGAGTAGTGTTTATAATGCTTCATTTCAGAAGGTCACTGTCTCAGCAAGGGACTCTTCTCACCTGACTATCTAAAGCTTAATTTTCAAGGAAGCTTTTTTTCCAGTGAACAAGTTCCTGAGCTAGAGGTAGATGAAGAGGTATCTGGCATATACAATCATGCACTGTGTCAGCTTCCCTGCCTTCCTGTAATGTGCCTTCCATATTGTTGGCTGGGTGGACTTCCCCCAGGCAGATGAGCTGTGATTGGCCAATCACCAACATGCTTCAACCCTGCCCTACTCTGTCAGCTCACTTGTGAGACATCCTGCCACTGTGCCTGGCTTAATGGGGAGGCTAAGTGTTAAGGAGAGATGATGCTTCAGCTACAACACAGAACTAGAGCAAGCATTCATACAAACAATAACCAAGGAGGAAATAAGGAAAGCAAAGTAAGGGACTTTCTCAAACCACTGATGATATAATCATGTATGAAGGCAACAGCAGGTAGTTATACCCTAACGTGGGCGTAACTCATGCTACGCAGATTATTGGTCAGGCCCTCGGTCCAGCTGGGTGGGACGGGCCGGCCCCCTGGGACAGTGTGGGACGGCAGGGGTACGTCCGGGTTGTTCTTGGTAACCTCCCGGCCTCTCCCGTCCACCTCTACTTCTCACTCACCGGGTGTGGGGGGGGCCATCTTAAAACATAGGCGGAATGTTTAACATAGAGCGCAGCACGAGTTTCAGTATTTCACATTACTCATAAATATCCGTGACTCTTCTCCATCTTAATACCCTATCTTCTTTACCACTACCATGCCTGAATTCAAACTAGAATATTAATAAACCTATGACCATCCTCCTACTCAATTAACAATTATCCAACTTTATTGCAAGTTGTTTTATATTTGTCTTGAGGCTGTCACATAATCACTACTAGAATCGTATATACTGTATATACATATACACATTTGTAACAAGGACATCGACCATACCTAGTAAAAAGCCTTTGACCTCATGGTATATTTTTCCACTGATATTTCAGTGGTTTCAGGTTATATACTCATTCCCTATAAGTCCTTTTCCAGGCAAACTTAAACATATTTCTTTTCTAAGGGTAACCTGACCATGCTTAAAGCTTTTAAGAATAATTCCCAATCAGAGGTAATGAAGCATGCATGCTCACAGTCCATGACAGTGTCTCCCCTCCTTTGGAGAGGGTGTATAAATAGAATAATAAATATAAAAGTATAATGAAAATAATACATGAATTAAAGCAACCCTTCTTCAAGTATTGAAGCGCACGTCATTAACATTCACCAAATTATTGAGTAGTTAAGTATCAATAACAATACCGCAAGTCTTTGAAACAAAATATATAATGAATTGGCATTTACATTCTATAGACAGGAAAGGAGAATAAATCCCCTGCAAATATGCAGATACAAATAAGAGGATTCTTCTGGTGTACAGAAATGCCAGTATGCATTAGGTAAGAGCATGTTCTGGAATGTAAAAAAATTCTTTGTTTATCATATCAAGATAAGGTTTGAGATTAATTATATTGCTTGGCAGGTATATAAAAAAATGCAAGCAGTAAGTAAAACTAATGTGGACAGCTGATAGAGCCCTTCACAGTATTGAAACAAATTTTTTAAAAGTTGATCAGCAGATATTGAAACATATGCTCTCATTTACTGTTGATATTTTAAGTGGTTGAAAGGATCATCAGAAATGCTTATTACACAGCCGGATATAAACTGAACTCATTTGTAAAGAATTCACTTAGAAGTTCATAGTTTTAAAAAATAAACCTAATAAATAAATAAAAATCTAAAATCATAGATTAAAGCTTTTCCTTATTGCAATCTTAACCTACTGGTGCTGGGTACATGAACTGTCCACTGTAGTTTGTCAATTTCGTTTAAACATTGATGGTTTTCAAAAGGAATCAATTATTAGGCCTACCTCACTTAACCTGTTTATCCTATTACCTGAATTTGGTTGTTAATACTATGTTCTTTATTAATATTAAAATAAATTACATAACATTAACCCAACGCTACCCGGGCCATGCCTATTGGCGTCATAACCACCACTTGGTCTGCAGGGTAGGCTGTACATGTGGTGACGCACCAGTGTGTTTTGAGTGGGACATTCAGCTTGATGTAACGGACTCATGCGCCCATTGTCTGCTCGTTGCCACAAATCTCCAGAGTTTAATATTCCCAGGGACTTTTTTTCATGCATCAGCATTGGGTGAACAACAATACTGAAGCTTTTCATAAAAGTCAATGAATAGGGTAAAGAGCATAGTCTCGTAGGAAGCTTAATAACTGATTCCTCGATGACTAACACTTGTAGAACCATCTATTTGCAAACAAAATACATGTCCTACCAGCATCAATTGACTGTTTGCACAAGTGTATAAGGGATGGAGAAAATAGAAGAGGGGGTGGATAGATGATGATGAGGTAGAGATTTATGGGAAGTTAAGAGGGGAAAGGAAGAGAATGACAGGTAAGGGTAGGGGGAGGGAGGGAAGGAGAAGAGAGAGAAATACAAAGATAGAGAAATGAGCATATGTAAGGGTATGGTGAAAAAAAAGGGGGCTATGAGCCTGCAACAATTGGTCAACCCCAACAAGACTATGTAGAAATTTTAGACTAAAATATGGCAAAACATAACAGAATACTCAGAAACATTTCAAATTAACAGCTACAAATCAATGATCCTGAAATACCTGTGCCTTACATGTTTTACACTTTTCACCTTTTAAGGCAGGGGAGGGGTGCAAGAAATGTGTGAGAGGAAAAGAAGCCAGTGTATTGGAGGAGAAAGAGGAAGAAAATAGGCACAAGAAAGTAAAAGAGGAGGTCAAGAAAGGAGGAAAATCTCTTTGACAATGATAGGTATGGAGGAGAATGAAATTCAGACTAAGACTAGTTAAAATGGGGCAATACGGAGGAAGGCTTTATGTTCAAGACTACAATAAATAGTTGGAAAAAATGAAGGCCCATATATCTGACCTCTGGGAGATTTTGAAGGGTTATCATTAAGTAAAGTAGCAAAACAATTACTTATCATAACTACTGCAAAAACAGAAAAGAAATCAGCTTTGCACTGAGGTTACCATTAATGCATTGAGGGCTACAAATATCTTACAATTGAGAACATATGTTCCTTTTTACCAAAAATAAATGATTTGTTACAATATACTGTAACATGTTAATAGCATTAATTACAATCAGAAAGGCCAAATCCTAGTGTAATTAACCCCAACAATCTGGATGATGTGACCATCACATGAAAGTATTCAGCTTGAGGGGCAGGTGACATTTATTATCATGGAAAAATTGTGCAAGGGAAAGGGTGATGGGAACTTGCCATCACGAGAATTTTGGCTGAAGGCCAAGGTGATGGGAATGACTTGCCATGAGTGTACAAGGCTCTTGGTGATCAGACTCAGCATTTAGGATGGGGCTTCTGCATTGTTCCCATCAATAAACGAGTTTGGAATATACCATCTGTGAACCTTGACTGGAAGAGCACCGGCTCCAGGGAGGACGCCATTTCCATGCTCAGGATCCTATTCCTGCTTGCCTTGACTAGCAGAGCAGGTCATATTACAGAAAATGGAATGTTATGGGAAAAAAAAAAAGAATATTACACAAATGAGGTGTTATTGTTATTGAGTTATGGAAAACCTAGAGATTTGATATGGAGTCTATTACCTTCTCAATAAAGCAAATTAAAATGACAAACAGACAGTGAAAAATGGCAAAAATAACCTCAAAATCCCTGTGCAGAGACAGAAAATAACATTGCAAAGAGGAGGCATGGAATCTTGTCACGGCACAAATGTCTGTGTGCGCCTGTGGCAGAGTAGATGCTCAAGTAAGCCTAATGTCTGCATTTAGGGACATGGTGATGCCACTGAAGCATCCGGATCCAATGGGTTAAGTGTTTTACATCACACTCTTACGTATGATGTAAAACTACTGTCAAAGCTTAAACAGACATAGTTGAAACTGGAGAGCCCTTTGAATTACCACTGAAAATTCCCTTTCTATCAGAAATAACAGATAATGTAGTGTTTAATGCAACAAATATTTCACAGATGACCAAGCAAAAAAGAAAAGAAAAGAAAAAATATGGAAATGTCTTTCTGGTAAATAAACAAGCCATTCCATACTTAAAAACCTTGTGCCTTGCCTTCAGCATTCCAATACCAATTGCTTTCAACCATATGATAATTTTTCATTACCATTTTAACTATTATAGTACAAGTAAAGGCCAACTGATGAAGGAAGCATAAAAATTAACAAGAAACCAATTTTATACTAAGAAGTTAAGCAGAGAAAAAAAAATCAACAAATATAAAGCTTTGATGACAAGATATGGGGAGTAAAGCTAAGCAGAGACTATTGTCAACGAGGTATAACATGTGCAAAACAAGGAAAGAAGGGAGGAAAGAGAAAGAGAGGAGTGAAGGAAAAAGAAAGAAGGGAGGGAGGGAGAGGAAGAGAGGGAGAGGAA